CAAAATACAATCATTTCAACTTTTTAAATTTAATTTTTTCACCTGTTATCCTGCATTGAAAATTTTCTCTAATTATTCAATTATAATTCCTGATTTGGGTCACCAATGATTCTCCCAGCATTCATTCGAATGTGTCGCAAAACTCTCGATAAAAGAAAAACAAGAGAACACGGTTAGGAGAAAATAACAAAAGAAAATGTACGACAGAAACGTACCAGCCCAGGAATGGAACAAAAGTGAGCGACCTGAAGCAACAAGAACAGAGTGAAATAAACAAGAAAAACCCTCCTACAAAAACAACCCGAAAGGCAAAACGTAGTGAAAGAAACGAGTAAAAAACAAGGGAGTAAGATAGAAGTTCGTTGAAAGAAATAAGATGAAACGAACGCGAGGAGAAGTGCAGCTTCCGTTGTGCCAAAAAAAAAAAAAAAGAAGAGGAAGTAGGTGAACAAAGGTTTGTGGAAAGACGAAGGAAATGTGGAAAGTCGAAAGAAAGAATAACGCGCGGTGGATGCCTACCACGGATGCAAAGAAATTTGAATCGCAATTACGGAATTAGTTTTTTCCTCGCGGTGTTCAACCAGTGGCGCACGACCAGCGAAATAAAACGTCGACGGATGTGTACGTGCTCCGCCAAGCGGAGCCACGTTGGCCGTCGTTTGGTACTTCCGGTCTCCCGTGAATGTCGTCGACTAATTTTCCGGCTGCTCGCTGTTCAAACTACTTTCGAGACGGACGGCTTTTAGGACGTAAATGTTCCCGCTTAAAAATCTGCCCGCGTTCGTGGATAATTGTCCGGAAGACAACTCGCTGGATATTCGTTAAATGCGATAGCTTTTGGAATTTCAGTCATTTTCGTGACAGCCTATGAAAATCAATTCAATATATTCTGGTTTGTTGAATATCATTCCAAACTCTAAGTTGTTCTGTTAAATACTATTTTTTGTTAATATATAAAAGACTTTTGTGTTGAAAATTTTAATGCCTAATTTTAGTTTAAATATTTCTGTATATGTTCCATAGGTCTGGGTAATAATTGAATCGGAAAAATTGAATTTTATTTAGTTTCAAGTTTGTAGAATATTATGACTACGCGATGTATCAATATCTGATAATATTGTAATATTATTACTTGCTAATAAGTGGAATAGAATGTTAAAAGTTGTGTGTACAGTACCGAGCACGGTACGTCTCTCACCTGAGCTCACGTCCTTCCCCCTCGGCGGTTCTGAAGAGAATGGCAATACAGGAGTAGAGACGCTGTATGTAAACATAGGTCTGCTGCTCCCCACCACTTACGTACAAACATTTACGCAGGAAAATTTGAATTAATATTTATTTTATTACTCCTATTTCTTAATTGTATATTAAATTTGGTAACATCTAATGATACAAAATTATGTAATTTTTTTTTTAAATAACTTTTAATATTTATATCGCCAAAATTAACGTTTTCAGAATTTCTATTTCTCCTATATCACCATTTTTGGCAGGAAAGCGTACTGTGCTCAATACTGTGTAATATATGTATATTCTGAAAAAAATTGAAACTCCGACTTTATTAATTACTTATGAAAAACATTCTAAAAATTAATCAATTTTAATTAATGATCCTAACGAATTCGTTTCTTTTATATATTTGTTTAGAATGAATTTTGAATGCAGCTCATAGGTGACCTATATAAGAAGTTAACGCGTTAAAATTTGCCTTCAGCAGTTAATTTTCAATCTAAAACGTAGCCTAAGCAACTGCACCGAGACTTAATCGCGTCTTCGTAGGAGTTTCCTAGGTTTCAGCTTATCTGAGTAGGGCAGTTAGCCGGAAACCACGCTGACTGTGAAGTTGCATCGTACTTCCCCCCTGTTAAGCACGCTCACTAATTCCTTAATAGGAGAATTCCTGAGAATACTCAGGTCTCACGAACTGACGATTGTGCAAGCAATTTCTGTCCTCTCGAGTACACTGCTGTCGATATACGTCTGTCAAGTAATTTTCGTGACTGTTGGAATGTAATCTCTCTTAGATAACGAAGAAAATATTTTAATACTGTTTAATGACATGACTTCATCCAGCTTAACACTAGAATTATCGAGCAGTCAAAATAACTACCTTTAGGTTTTGTTGATTATTATTGAAATAAAGAATTCATTTTTTTGTTATATATTCTAAAAATAGAATAAATTATTGAACTTTGTGAAATTGGAAATATGGTTAATAAAAACATTTTTGAGCAACAACGATATAACTTGCATACTGATGTAAAAGTATGTGAAGTATTCATAATATTTTCCCTATCCTTAGTCACCGGATTTTATAACAATTTTTCTCGAGAAATCAAGGAATTCGTCATACAGAAATATTACCTCAGAGGTACAATGACTTGCTAAAACTTCTCGTCTCTCGACGTAGATGAAATATTCGACTTCATCCCCTCTCATTTTCCTCCGCCTCTATCTCGGTTTTCGATTATAGAATCCATATAACCAACCTGGGAATTGACGAAGGAGAGCTCTTTTTCTGCCATCTCATGTAAATCGATAGCTCTTCGTTGAAAATCCAAAATACTTTCATCGTTACGAAAGAAAATAGTCAAAAACGAAAAGATGGAATGAAAGAGTCAAGTGATAGGAGAAATGAGAATATGACAAAAAGATATAATAGTCTGCTTCTAAAATATGAAACAGAAAAATATAAAAAACGTAAAAAATTATGTATTTATGACGTGTGAAAATATTGTACCCAATCTTTATGTGAAATGTGAAAAATTAATATATGAAAAATGGAATGATATTTTCGATTGATTTTAAATAATCAATTTGCATGAACACCTGCAGCCTTGTAATAAACAATGAGAAAAAAAAATTGTTGTCGTGTTTTTACATGATTTGATGACATAAAAATACTGTATAATAACCCTCGTGATATGTTAAATTAAAGCTTAAGAATTCTTGGACAACGGACCATGGAGAGAGTCCTAAGAATAAATAAAAATGCCTACATAAATATTCCACCAATAACTCTACCATAAACTGAATAACAATAAAAAAAGAGATCAAAGAAGATATAGTATCATCCGAAAGCAAGCAATAAATGAAACCGAGAGATCCTTCTAATCTTCTCCGGGAAAGGTAAACGGAAACGGAAATGCACGCAAACGAGAGGGACGAGGGAAGAGAATCGAAGGTAACGAAAGCAGATGAAAAAGGCAGAGCTGGTATTATCGGGAAGCCCCGGTAAAGGGAAGGGCTGTACAAGCAGACGATGCAAAAATTGACGTGGCTTATCGGACAGACTGCGAACGGATTCCGAAACAAACGGATCGATGAGTATTCCATGAGCATCGTAGCGAAACCGGTCCAGCATTTTTCTGGCCAAGCCGTTTCGAGTCTCGTTACCGTTGCTGGAAGTTCGACGAAGCAGGCGGAGAAACGCAGATAAAGGTTTTAATTCCGTGCGAATGGATCAACGCGTGAAAATCAAACGAGAAGAGAGAACTCGCGATAGGAGGAGGAGACTCGATTGATCGACCGTTTGAAACAATGGTTAACTTCGGAAGTAATCGCTTAATTCCTGGATTTCCCGGCTACGTCCAGATCGATTTCCGATTCAACTGTCTTCCGGACTTTTTTAAATCCTGTTCATCGAATCGATGGACAGCTTTGCTCGCCACGATCAAATTCAAATCGCCATATTGCTACGCAAACAAGCGAGTCGCGTTTCTATATATCCTATGGGAAATATGTATCTGATCGATTCAATTCAATTTATTTATTTTTTAATTCTATATTGTCTCTGATTTTTACTGTATTACTTATTGTATCATTGCTGAAGCTTGATAGGTAGGTTGTATATGTTTATGCATTTATAAATTATGGTATCGTTTTAACATAGATAATTGAATAATTGGAAGAATAAAGAATCTAAGCAAAATTCTAAGTAGTTCTACTTTTCTGAACTTTCTATCAAATATTCATTTTTCCTCATTAATCCTTTAAGCATTTGGCTCAAGAAACAATTATGTATTTCGGTAGAGCCTTTTCTAATTATCTCAGAATCTTTTCACTTTTTGAAAGCCAACAATAGTAAAAAAAATTAGTCGTGAACATAAACGACCCAGGTTGCCCATAGAAATTGAAAAAATGTTATAATAATTTTACAAGGAAATAATTGGAAAATTAAGATTAAAATGGTTGCAAAATTAAAAAAGCAAAATAAAAATTTTTCTATCAAATAGAAAGCTGACGAAGATGAATGATCCAAATGAGAATCATTATGAGTTACCCTCTCAGTTGGTGAGTAATTGCAAGAATTTTCCTCAGGCATTTTCTGGTACATCGATGGCTCTTTCTTTCTATTTTCCCATAGAAGCTGATATCCGGCGACATGAAGCTGGTGGCCGCGAAATAAGATGAAAGAAAGCAAACAATGCCCGCTGGCACAGTGAATGACTCACTTTGTTGCTTTCACTGGGAAACTTTCCTCGTGAAGGCGCTTTCAAGGAAGTTTCGAAGAACAGTAACGGCAATCATCGACGAAGGAACAGCAACGATTTGTTCTTGCTCGGCCAGTTGAGAACTTGGTCGCTTTTTTCGCTTTTTCGAAGCTATCACCTTTCGTAGTACCGCTTGAAAGCACTATGAAATTTCTTTAAGACCGATTTTCTGAACGGTTCTGATCAACGAGATATCTTTTTCATCAATTAATCCTTTCATGTAGAAATTTATACTATAAATTTTTTTAATTTGATTAATAGTTTCGGTCTTAATATTGGGTCTTCTTCGAGCATTAACTTTTTAAATATTTTAAACATTCTTTTAAGGGAATAAAAATTAGTTGAGACTGGATTAAATTATTAATATTTTAAATATTTTAGAGATTAGTGCAGATTATTAGATTAGATTATTAATATTTTACATACTTGTTACGCCTTGATGATAACGAAAAGTTAAAATTTGTGCCAACAAGACCGAATTAAGTGAAAATTAGATTATACACTTACGTGTTCTGGGTTTATAGCAGCACCGTCACGAATATCCTGATGATCGGCACCAGAACCATTGACCATACCAGAACCGGCGCCAGCACTTCCGCTTCCTTTTCCACCGACTCCGCCAGCTGGTGTTTGTGGCAAACCCTAGAAAAAAGAAAAAGACGATGTTAGAACAACAAACAAATTTTTTTGATTTATTTGCATTAAACTAAATCCTATAAATTTGATTTTTATTTAATTACTCGAACCTTCGGACAGCAGAACAGTTCGTTCATTAAATTAAAATAAGAATGATGACGAATGATAAGTATGTTTAAAAATTCATGGTACATATTTCAGTTTATCTGGCTGTTAACACCCTCATTGTCTTCTTAAATAAAATTCTTCTTTTCCCAGGTTTTTTCGCACATTCTATGCTCCCTTTGAGCCTTTTCAACGGATATTCCACATTAATCTCGCTTTCACGCGATTTACGGGGGCAGCCAGAGAACAAAATAAAACGGAATATAAAAATCGCCAAGATTTAGCAGCGTGATTTAACGTTGTAAATTACCAAGGAAAAGAAATACCACCTAAGAAATCCAGCATGGCTATTTGTTCGACGTGTTTCCCCCCCAAGAATCTGCGTTAAAATCCTGCCACGATTTCGTTCGTTTCTTTCATTCACCTCTTCTCCGACTATTTCACCTTCTATTACGTGCTCTCTTCCGTTTCCGGAACAGCTTCAACCAGAAGGATTAGATCGGTGCAAGGATTTTGGAAAAAGGGGAATTTCGTTCAACGTGTTTGCTCTAATCCCTTTGAATCGGGATTAAGTTGATAAGAAACCTTGCAGAAGATTGCGAAATGGGTCATCGAGCTTGCAAATCTAAAATTTGCGAACTTCTTCGATCAGAAATCAAAAAGGTTTGAATTGATCATAGCAATAATTTTTGATTAAATAGAAGAAGGAATTGTACATTTTTTATAGTATGTACATAATTAATTAGTAGCAGTGATTAGTTATCTATTTTGGAAATAAATCTGGGAACAAATTTCAAATTTAAAGAGAAAACAAAATCTTTCTTGCTGAAAATTAAATTATGATTTTCCACTGAATGTTACAGTTAATACAGCATCTGCTGCTTTGCGATCAAAGCAATAACTAAACAAATTTAATTAAAACAAAATTAATTACAATATATTACACTACTTCTGTAGCCTTGTTAATTTTATTACAAAGAACAGTAAACGTAATATGTCCACATTTTTCCAATAATTTTCATCGCTTTTACTTGAAAAGAAAACTTCCCCGGCTTCCTTTTCACGTTAAGAACTTTTTAATCTTTTCCAACTCCTCGAAAGTATTTCAAAATTGAACCACGTAGATAAAAAGTATGGCAAAAGGTACAATATATTTTAAGGGGAATAAAAACTTTCGAATTACTCTTGTATACTCGAGGAAACACCAAGAACGTCTGGTGAGTTAGAATAAAAAAGAGGAAAGGATTATTCGCGTCTGGTGCAGGTTTTAATCAATGATTTTCAAGGAACCACGAAATGGGCTGTAATTACGAGGGTGGTTCTGAAATTCCGTAAAATTCTGCATGCAATATCGCGGCTTAATGATGGCCGCCATTTAACGAAGGATTATGATACGCTCGTTAAATCGCTCGTCAGAGGGAACTTCTCCATTTCCCTGTATTAGGATCCATCGATCGCTTTGCTTCAAAAATTGGATGGAAACATCCGTGAAGTGTTATCGATTACAAAAGTCTGATATTTTAATTACACCTCGTATTTTTTTTTCCTTCCGTGCTGCTTTGAAACTGAATATCGTTTCGTAACTAAGACCGATCGTGTTTTAAACGATGGAAAACTGGGAGCTGCTATTATCGTTGTGAAATAATCCATCGATCAAAGTAAAAAAAAAAATAGAGTATTTTATATTTTATATAATTTTGAATAATTTGAGTAATACTGACTAATAATAACTTTTAAATAAAATTTGAAAAATGAAAATAATATGAAATAAGTTATGTTAAAATTGTGGCTCTCTCCATGGTCCGTCAACCGAGAGTTAATTACATTACATTCGTTCTTAATTTGGACAGACAAATTAATGTTAATAATAATTTATTTCATCCAAACATTGCTGAATTTGAACATTAATTACAGCACTCTTAATTTACTCTTGATATACAAACTGTATTTCCGTATCTATTAATTGGAAAAAAATTGTTGATTTTCTGGAATTCATTCAACGAAATTTTAGATCCGCGAATAGAACATATTGTGTATAAATTTGATACAATATACAGTAAAAGTTTAGCTTTCAGTCAGGAAATTCTTCAATTAAAACAAATACATATAGGAAGGGTACAAGTGAAAATTAAATCGCGAAGTTGATATTCAATTTCGATCGAAGCTAAATTCTCTGTCGATCGAAAACCGAAGCGATATAAATGTTCAATCCAAGATACGTTTTATTCGTTCTCGGTACGGATGAAATTACTCCTATATTTTCCCTGTTAAATTCAAATATTGAGTATCAAAGTAAAAGACGCGATGGATTTCCGTTTTAATCCGGTGACTATGTATGTGGTGGAAAAAGTAACAAGACCTGCATTAAAAATTGAATATCAAACCTGTCTTTCTGTATCAATTTATCTAGGAACAAAATAATTAGTAATTACTTTTTTTAAATTTTTAATTGACGTTCTGCGCAAATCTTATTAAATCCAAATTATTAATTAGAGCTCAAATATGAATTTCTTTTTACAGAAATCTAAATTTTATGAAAGTAAGCTCAAAGTGTTGGGGAGTAGTGTTTCAACTTAATCTTTTGATGGGCGATTGAAAATAAATTTTATATTGAAAAAAATTAGCAATTTTCAAACTGTAATTAGCAGCTAATACAATAGACAAAAAATAAAGAATACTGGAGTTTAAAATTATGTCAAGATATTAACAATTTCTTTAATAAATTAATTGCAGTAACCAACCTCGAAATCGATAGATCCACCCCTAAATCATAAAATCAATAAAGCCGAAAGATGAAGGCGAAAACTCAGGTTTCTAGTGGAGGAAAAGCGAAGATGTCGCGTTGTGGCAACGATGAAGAGGATCCGTTCCATTAAAAACGCTTTCAAGAATGGAGGTCGCGAGTCGATAAAGCGATATTTGGCCTTCCTTAATGGATCGCGGCCGATCGAATGGCACTTTGTAGGTGGGAAACGAGCCGCCAGCCCGATAGACGACGATCGAGCATCGAACAAGTGGAAGAAAACGAAACAGAAGAAGAGAATCAGCGACAGTAACGAAAGTAAGGCCGAGTGCGAGCCCGTGACCTGCCGTGCAACGCTTTTATTTCGTGTATTGGTAATAGCATAGAGTGCTGCTTCTCTCAAAGTAATAGAACCTCGAAGACCCTTTAAGTGACGTTCGCCACTTTACGATCGTTCTTTATAGACGATCGCACCCGTTTCCTTTATTCTACCCCTCGGTCCCACCTTCGCTATCATTTAACGACCATCAGAAAAAGAAGATGAAGGAAGATACCTGCTGGATATTTCCCTTCCTTTGTTTCTCTTAGGGAAAACGATCATTCGTTCTCTTATCGATGAGAGTAAAATACGTTATCAGTGTGGTTATTGAAATAAAATGATAAATGATATTTGAAATCGTAATTTGAAGATTGAAAAATTAACCCTTGAACAGAGGAACCCGGGTCAATTTTGACCCAAATTTACAAAAGATATACAAGAACATTAGGTTTAGATAAAATTTAGAAAATAAAAGCAATATGAAATGTAAGATTAAATTAAAATTGAGCCTTCGCATTATCGTCGTTTTAGGATTTTTGACAGAATTGCTTATATTGCCGATGAAACATTCATTTTACATTCTGAACGAAGTAGAAATTGCATATATGCGTAATAGGAGAGGGCAGAGAAGATACAACCGCATCGTCTGACGTTTCTTTGAGGCTGTTCGCGAGTTTCTTATTTTGCGGGAGATCGGAAACCAGGGACTAGGATGAGTTTCCTTTCGCGTCAGAATTTTTCCGTGAATTTTTCGCCTCGTAACTCGCACGTTTCCACATGCTGTATACCAGGATGCGTGCTTTTTCCGCATCCGCGGCTGGCTTTGCCTTAATTATTTCGCTGACTTTGCTGCCGGAAAAATTCGCTTCGTTTGCTGCATCCGTACTCGATACTCCGACATATACCGGTCATAGAGAAAAAAGAATTTCCACGGTCTTTGATGTTACTTTCAAGTTGTATAGACTGGCTAATTGTATGGCGAAATACTAGAACACTAGGAATCTTAGCTTTCTAGAGCAATTTTGAATTTGATGCTTTCAAAATTCTGAATTTTAAATATAAAAACATTGAAAATTTTATTTGTTTCGAATACGAGATATATTTTATTACTTATTGCATGGTGTATCGAGTATTAGCCTTCAAATTTCTTAAATTTCATACATTAATAATTTGAAGTTAATCAAATGGAATAACCAGTTCAGAAATTTTAAGGTATAATTTTCATAAATAATTTCCAAACATTTCAGAAATTAACACACCATCAGTCTATAAATTGATGCATTGATTTGATCAAGGTTTTACCATGCAAATATGATTTCCAAAGTTTGCGCTGACGAAGATCCATTATTTTCCCGGACTACATTTTCGTACAGCATTCTGTACACGATTATATACGGTCGCAGATTGGATCTTGGTGGTACGATCGTTCCCGAGTTATGGCTTTTCGATAAGTAGAGAACACACACGGTGGAGAGCCTTACTAGATTACATTTCGGATCATCGAGAATCCTGCATCAAGCATACGAGAACGTATATAGATGCACAGGTAATGCGTTCCAGAGAGTACAATGGACAAGCTCCGTCTTCTCTCCGCCTTGTATTAGAAGCTCTCCATTTTCTGATCCAGTTTCTAGATGCAAGACGTACTACGCGGATCTTTGATCGAAACCATAACAAGCACGATGTTCAACGTGTTCTATAAACAAACTGGGGTTTCTGTAACGTTTTGTAGAAAATAAGTGCTTTGGAATGATCATCAGATACTTCAAATAGTGGGTTTTTGAATATTGAAGTTTGACATGATTTCATGACATAAAAGTATCGCAAAATAGCACTTAT